TGCCTGTTTCGATCTCTGGGGCATCCTGAAGGGTGGCATAAAATTATGGCCTAAACTTCAGTGAGGGAAAGGTGAGTTCCTGTTCCCCTTTTCTAGAAACAAAGGTAACACTAGAGCTGGTGGAGAGCACTGGAACATCTTTTTCACCCACCCTCTGACAGCTGCATTGCTGACAAAAACATTTTGAGATTTCGAAACGCTTATTTAAAACATTTTTTTATTACTTAGAATGCAGCAATTTCCATTCTGAGCAGCCAGCCAGGGTTGATAGCAGAAAAGAAGGAGGGAGATTCCCCTCCATGATTTGCACCATTCTTCCAGCTTGCAGTGAGGTGGAAAATTCTACCTGTGCTCCAGATCTTCTGACCTGTCCCAGGTAAAAAACTGTCCACACATCCCTAGGGCCCAAAAATCTGGAGTGAACTGCACCAAATTATGTGAAATTACACAAATAGTATAAATAAATAAATAAATAAATAAATAAATAAATAAATAAACAATAACAATCAGTATATAAATAAATAATATAAATTATAATATTATTTAATATAATAATATATACCATAGTATAATATTATAATATCATTATAATATTATACTATAATTATATATTTTTATATAATTTTATAAACCTATATATAATTCTAATATTATAACAAAGTATAATATTATAATAATATTAATATAAATAGAAATAAATAATAAATAAACAAAAACACATCTCTGAAAGCTTCTGAAAACTGGAGGGCAATTTTTTGGTTGTTTGGGATTGTTGGTGGTGGTGGTGGTTTTTTATTTTTTTGGGATTTTTTAAAATTATTTCTCTGTGTGGGTATGTATTTGGGATTTTTCTGCTGGTGCGGTTTTTTTTTTGGTTTTTGTTTGGTTTGTTGTTGTTGTTATAATTATTATTAATATTAGCATCAGTATTTTGGCTGTTTTTTTAAAAATAACCCGGCATTTCTTGGGAAAATGTCTCCAGATGGGATGCTGGTGGTTTTTCACACATATTTTTGAGTGTTGAAGCTGATTGATGCAAGCTCGTGTCACATTTCTTGAAGTTAATAGGGTGAACTCGCGGGAACATGGAATAAGAAAGGTGAAAGGGTTTCCAAGTTTGAAACCATGACTGAGAGGTGGAATCAGTGCTATTCTTAGCAGAGGTGCTGAAAAGAAAAAATAAAATAAAAAAAAGGAAAAGGGGGCAACTCCACGAGTATTTGTTCAACATTCGCAACCCACTGCTTGAAGTGTAAAGATCATTTTGGCTTGTGTCAATCCCAGCCAGTCACAGCTCCAGCAGGAAAGCAGCACTGCCTTAAAAAAAGCTCTGCTGTGATGATTTAACTCGTCACCCTGGTGCTGCTTTGTGGCTCTCAGAGCTGGGGTGAGCTCACGCACAGACAGAGAGAGCGCGACAAGGATTCCAGCTGCCATCCGGGTCTGCAGATGGCTTTGCCTTTAAATTCCATTTCAGGGCAGCAGTTCTGGTTTTTTGCTTCTTATTTGGGTGCAACTCAATTGGAATGGCAGTGCCTTGCTGACTGGCACTTGTTGAGCCTTGTGGGTTTTTTGGTACAGAAGTTATAAATCTCTTAAATAGGAATAAACCATCCCGTAAATTATTAAGGGGCAGAGGATGTCTTCTGCACTTGAATCTTCTACCTAGCTTCAACAAGCCCTCAGATACTTTCCTTGAGTTTATTGGTTGGTTTGTCACTGTTTTTACACTTACTGCATAAAGAAAATACCTGCAACACCTTTACTTTTATTCTGATACCCATAAACCCATATACATACGTACATATATATAAATATATATATATATATAAAATAATGTGTGTGTATATACATATTTATTTATATATATATTCATATATATAAATTATATATATATACACACACACACACATATATATACATATATATATATAAAAAAGTTAAAAACTACAGCTAGTGAAACATAGAAAAGAAAAAACAGAGAGCTACATACTACCGTACATTCATCATGCCAAATTCAGCCACTTTTCTCAGAATTTTCTGGTGCCTGGAATAAATATTGATATTCTGTCTTCCCCAATGTAATATCATTTCTCTTCATAAATACCAGCTAAACACATCTTCCTGGTTTTGTTCTTTATTTTTCTCTTTTATTGAGGCATTTTGACAGATTTCCACTTGTTTCAGGTGAAAAACTTCAAGACATAGTACATACATATGGTAAATACTCACTTTGGGGGTTTGTGGCTGTTAAAATTTACAATTCCCTAATGCCAGCTTTAATTTAGGATTTGCTTAGGATCTCTGTGCTTCTCAGGACAACTAATCTCCATTATTTACCATGGGGTTCAGTATTAAAGCACACACCATTTAATTCTATAATTGTATCACTTTTCAGGCACATGCACTGATTTTGTGTGAAAATGGTTCTTCTGAATTCAGAAAAATGTGTTGTAACTTTCAACATCCTTTTAAAAAAAGCAGAAAGCGATTACCTGAACCTTCCTTCTTTTTTTTTAAAAAAAAGTAGAAAGGGATTACCTGTATCTGCTCTGCCAAAGTGGGATATCAATGCAGTGCTGTAGGCAGAAATTTGAATTAACATTCCTGAGATACAGCCAGATAATTTCCTGTGCGCTTTAAAGCTTTGCATTTAGTTGCATCTTCTGATGCTCCAAACTCATCAAGTGACTGAGGGATGTGTTTGTAAAGGCCTGGATGGCCGTTATATATGAAATTATAAAACCACTGTTGTACTTAATGGGGTCAGTGAAGCAATCAGGATAAAAATACATAATTCTGCAGCGTGAGTCTGTAAGCATGATACTTCTTAGGCTTTTTAAGTTTAATGAAGCAGCTACTCAGCATCTGAACGTTCTTGTTAAACAGTCTCAGCGTGGATTTTAAAACTAAAACTGAACACCATCGTCTCCTTGGAGAGTCTGTGGCTCTTATTCTCTTGAAATGTCTGCATCTTTTATATGTTAATGGTTTTGACATCAGCCATTTGCTTCATTTTCATTGTAAATGAGGCCCAGAGTCCAATTCCCTGCCCCATTCCCTGGACACTCTCTGCCCTGTAAGCTGTCTCATCAGCCTCCGGCTCTTTCCCTGGGGGATGTGTGGTCTGAAAACAGCTGAAGTCATCCTGCAAAAAAAACCCAATTTTCCTATTTTAGATGCCTTTCTAAGAATATGAGTCCCTGTGTGAAAACTTGCGTGGTGCAAGTGGGTCCAGCATCCGCACCAGTCCTCACGTGCCCCAAAATCTTACTGCCAAGACCATCCCTTCAGGGGGCTCCCAAAGGTTGGTGCTGCTCTTCCTCAAATCCAACAGAGTCAAATCACAGGGTTTCACCTAAATCCTTGGAGAAACACCCCTGTTTAGAGGGTTTTGTTCATGTTTGGTTTTTAAAGATTCTTCTCAGCCGCAGTGCTGGCGCTATACAGCTGTGGTGAGTGATGCAGAACACTTTTTTTTTGAGGGGGAAACTCCTGATTTTAACATGGGAATATCAGCGTTGTAACCTGCAAGTTTTACACAGGACTGCAGCCAAGTGTCCCAGGGTGTGCTAGGCAGTCTTCTCACCCTTTTGGGTGGGAAGGGATTAACCCACCCTGTGTGTGTGTTTTTGGTGCCTGACCCAAAGGGCAGTGACAAAGCCTGGTGGAGCCCTCCAGAGCAAGCACACCCAGCCAGGAGCACCCATCCCATCAAGGCATCAGGAATTTACACACTCAGGCTTCTTCTGGTTGGGATCCAAAATGCAGGGCACTCTCAGAACTTTAGCCTGTAAGCCAAAGCTTAGAATTAAACACAGGATTTGATCTGAGACCTCGGAGAAGGCTCCCAAACTGAAGTGCTAGAAGTGAGAATGTGGATTTATAGTTTAGAGCAGACACCCGTTAAGTGGAAGAAAGTTTAGAGTTTTAGAGTTTAAGATATAAAAATTAAAGTAGTTACAAAGGTAAACAGGAAGTTTAGAATGCAGTGCTGTAGGTTTGTGTGTCATTATATGATTGGCTAAGGAAGCTTACACAGTGACATGGGTCCATAAGACGAAATATTTAAGGATTGGGTCAAAAACATAAATATCCTTGCTGGCAGTGTTTTATTGGTCAGTAACTCCTTAAAAGGTCTTGTAATTAGGGGTCTTGTAACCTTCTGAACCATGGGGTGAAGATGTGAGCAGAATTCACCCTTCCTACCTATGCAGAAGATAAGAACAATAAATCACATCATCAAAACCAACTCAGAAGTCCTGTCTCAAATTCCTTACACAATTCCCCACAAGTGGATTATCACACTTGTTCCCAGCACAACCCTTCCTTCCCATTTGCCAGGTGTGAAAGCACTGTGCAAAACACACTCACAGTGATGTGAGAGACAGCAAAGCAGAGGAGGGAGGCATGGGCAGGCTGTGATTTCTGTCTCACCTTGTGGCATAAATTACTGCTTTGCAGGCTATGATTAAGCAGGTTTGTGTGACTAAAACCCTGTACAGGATTAATTGCCAGGTCTGTGCTCTGCTGTGGGTTGGTGATAGAAGACACTAAGCAGCATGGAAGTGTTTTCAAAGGGGATTTGAAGCCAATCAACCATTTTCTCCTCCAGCACATAACTTTCCCCCTTGGCGGACAGTGGCAGCCTTTAAATTTGAAAGTGCACAGACTGTATATACCTTTGAAACATTTGGAGGGGGAGTGACAAAAGCTTCAGCCTCTCTGTTTATCACTCATGACTTTAGGAGTCTGCAGAGGGAAGAAGACAAGGTTGCTGCCTTGCTGCTTGTGGGATGTGCAGGCTGTTTCTTCTGTGACACCCAATACTGCAAACCCCCTTTCTTCTGTGGCACCCAATACTGCAAACCCCCTTTCCCTGCTCAGTGGGCTCTGGAAACCTGGGGTGGGCACTGAGGGATGCTCCTTCTCATGCCTGCTGTTGGTCAGACAGGGAGGGATGTGCCCCACAGCACCTCCCTGTCCCCATTTCTGCCTAGATGGGGACCCGCTGCCCAGCGCCATGAGGACCAACCGCTGCAGCCACCTGCCTGGAGTGCCTCCAGATCATCCACACCCTGCAGCCCCTGATGGGAAGAGCCTGCCTGGCAGCAGCGGGGGCCTGGCCACCAGCTGTCCCCAGTATGTCATGCAGGTGTCCTCCAAGGATGGGCAGCTGCTCTCGTCCGTGGTGCGGAACCTGGCCGTGCAGAGGTATGTGGGGGGAAGAGGGAGGGACAGGCCCCTTCCCATGTGGCGTGTGGTTAAACCCCCATTCCATCACCACAAGGATCATGCTGCAGAAGGCATCATGCTTTTTAAACCCTTCACCAGCCCCTGGTGTGCTGAGCAGCCATACAAGCTGTTTCTAGCACCAGTGTTGCAGCTTCTGTCATTGTCCGAGGGATTGACCTTTCTTTTTGCTGCTGGTTTAGAGAGGCGGATTAGAGGTGAAATATATTGTTAATCTATGCCTTTGAAGCGTGCTTCAGGCTGGCTTTGTTCTCATTAGAAGCAAGGAAGGGTATTCTGATGTGCTTGGCCTTATCCAGATGCTTGGGTCAAAATTAAGTTTGTCTTTGCTGGTGGTGAGCTGGAAAGGCTTCATGGATCTTAAAGCAGTGCAGAAGAAATACCCACCTGCAGCCCCACAGCAGGGATGTGTTTGGCACACATCTCTTTGTATCCCTCTTTGACCTGCCTGTGGGCTGCCCCAAAGAGAGGGAAACCCTTGCCAGGGAGAGGAGGTTTCGGCCTTCATGTGCTTTTTTCTGAAGTCATGGCCCTGCCTTTGGGGGCTACAGGGAAAGGCGATGCTCTTTCAGCAGTCCTTTACTGTTGGCCAGTGAAAACAACATTTATGTATCAGAAAGGACAACCCCCATGGCAGGGAGGAATGATGAGGACACTTCCAGCTTATCAGAAGGCTAACTAATTACTTTATAATACTATATTATATTATATTTATTATATTATATTACATTACATCTAAACTGAATCTGCTAAGCACTCAACTCTGCACACAACTACACTCTAATTCCACAAAATTTCGTGACTGTTACCTGACAGTCCCAACACACAACACACTTGGCCCTGATAGGCCAAGGAAACAAACCACCATCTCTTTGGGTAAACAATCTCCATATTGCATTCTACTCTGGCACAAACACAGGCACAGCAAATGAGATAAGAATTGTTTCTCCTTTCTCTGAGCTTCAGAGAATGTGAAACCCAGAAATATTCTTGGGAAGAATTATGCTCTTCTCTGTGAGGAGAAATGAGACTACATTTATGTCAGAGGATCACCAAGAAGTGCCCAGCTGAGGCAGATTTACAACCTCCCTGATGCACTTTGGGATTCCCTGAGGCGGCTGCACTGCTGCTTTGTGAAGAGCTGGGAAATACAAAATGCAGAAGAACCTGGTGTTCTGCCTCTCATCTGCCACTCTGATGTTTTTCACTCTAAACTTTCTCCCCACACCTAATAAAATAGGCATTTTAAGCAAGAAAACCAAAATGCCTTAAATCATTAGCCCACCAGCTTGGATTGCTAATTAGAGGGCAAAGCAACACAAATATTTCTAGCTCACGACAGAGAAGCCTCATGTTGGGAGCCACTGGATGTGTTTGTCCTGGTTCAGGGCAAATTTTTGAAAGACCCCCCAAAGGGGCTCCTCTAGGAAAGCAGTTCACAACAGAGAAGCCCCATATTGGGCGCCACTGGATGCATTTGTCCTGGTTCAGGGCAGATTTTGGAGAGAACTCCTCAAAAGGGCTCCTCTAGGAAAGCAGTTCATGACAGAGAAGCCACTGGATGTATTTTTCCTCATTGAGGGCAAATTTTTGAAAGACCCCCCTAAGGGGCTTCTCTAGGAAAGCAGTTCACAACAGAGAAGCCGCACATGGGGCACCACCAGATGTATTTGTCCTGGTTCAGAGCAGATTTCAGAGAGAATCCCCAAAGGAGCTCATCCAGGAAAGCAGTTCACAACAGAGAAGACGCACGTTGGGCGCCACTGGATATATTTGTCCTGGTTAAGGGCAGATTTTGGAGAGAACCCCCAAAGGGGCTCCTCTAGGAAAGCAGTTCATGACAGAGAAGCCACTGGATGTATTTTTCCTCATTCAGGGCAAATTTTTGAAACACCCCTGAGGGAGCTCCTCTAGGAAAGCAGTTCACTACAGAGAAGCCCCATGTTGGGCACCACTGGATGTATTTTTCCTCGTTCAGGGCAGATTTCAGAGAGAACCCCCCAAAAGGGGCTCGTCCAGGAAAGCAGTTCATGACAGAGAACCCTCACGTAGGGCGCCACTGGATGTATTTGTCCTGGTTCAGGGCAGATTTCAGAGAGAACCCCCAAAGGGGCTCATCCAGGAAAGCAGTTCATGACAGAGAAGCCCCACGTTGGGCGCCACTGGATGTATTTGTCCTGGTTCAGGGCAAATTCAATCGGCCCCTCCCTCCAACCAGTCGCCACAACCCTCCAGCCCTGACCAGCATTTTTCTCTCCCTGTCCTGCAGCAGCTCCTTCAATGACCGGCCCATCTGCAGGATCTGCCACGAGGGCAGCAGCCACGAGGAGCTGCTGTCCCCCTGTGAGTGCACGGGGACCTTGGGGACCATTCACCGCAGCTGCCTGGAGCGCTGGCTGTCCTCCTCCAACACCAGCTACTGTGAGCTCTGCCACTTCAGGTTTGCAGTGGAGCGCAAGCCCAGGCCACTGGTGGAGGTCAGTGCAACCCTGAAATCTTCATTTTGGCTGGAAAGAAATCCTGCCTGCTTCCGTGCAGGCATCACAAAGGCTCTGTGGTTGCAGTGGGATTTGGCAATGTGAGGTGGGAGCTCAGGGAAAGGGTGGGATGGGGCAGAACCCCTCGTTTTGGAGGGAATCAAAACCAAATTTTTAGGATCAGTGGGTTTGCTCACTGCAAACCTGAGTGGTGGGTTTTTTGCAGCAAATTCCTGGGATACCAGCCAGCTTGGCTGAGAGTGGAAGAGAGGTAAGTTGAAGTTTCTGTGGAATGTGGTGGAAATCTCTGGACTCAACATATTAAACATAGGTCAGAAATTTATTTATTTCTTCTTGCTTTTGAGAGGTAACAATCTTAGGAGCCTTGGAAACCCAGTTTACCTGTCAAGCCCACAAGAAGGAATGGTTCTTGATGAGTATCTGGCGTGTTTAGACATTTCTGAGTCACCTTTTGGCCTTTTCTTGCCTATGTGCCAGACTCAAATTGTTTCTCCTTTATCAATGAAAATTTAGTTTTTGCCAACTATAGTTAGCAGCTTCATTAAGTTTTCCAGGTTTTAGGGTATTTTTGGTTCTCAGGAAAAGAAAAGAAACTAAAACAAGTTCAATCTCTTGACCCTGCTAATGACCTTTTCCTTTCCTTATTTTGTTTTGGGAAAAGGTGAAGCAAAGTTAGGGTTTCTTTAGTAATTAAAAGTGAAATACAAGCAACATTTTGGCAAAATGAACGAGAAGAAGTATTTGGTACCTGTTGGTGACACAGACACCTATATGCAGAGTTTGGGTTCAGGACAAAATGTCTTTCCTGTGCATCTTAATTGTTCCTTTAAACTGTGTCAGAACTGGTGGAAGGAGGTACAGTATTAAAAATTGGTAGGGGGGAAGCAGCATTTTGTTTTCCTCCTGCTCATAGAGAAGAGGACACAGGACAGAACTCACTGGGAGGTGGGTCAGGGGATGAGAAGTTCAACACTACCAAAATCACTTTAACTGAGATAGGCACGCACATTTTGTGTCTGAGCCTAGGGATATCTTCCTTCTTCCTCAGGATCCCCCCACAAAAGGAGCATGACATGGCATTTAGCACAAGTCCTGCACCCAGAGCAGGTCCTGGCCAGCTGGGTTTGGCTCCCTCTGGGTTGCTTCTGGATCCCCTCTCAATCTTTGATGCAAGAATATAAATGATATAAAAATGATGCCATTCTGAATCCGCCCTCTGAGAAGAAAGATAAGCGGTGCTGAGGCATCACAGTTTGATTTTAGAGCCCAGCTTCTGGAGGTTGTTCCCTTTGTGATGGCTCCTGGTGAGGCTTGTGCTGCACAAAGTGGATGTGGTGCTGGCCAGAGCTGCTGATGATGGAAGGAGCTGAAAGCAAAGCTGACCCTGCCCAGGATGGGGCACTGTGGTTGCTTGGTTGTTCCCTGATGAAATTAGGCTTCTTTTTGGCAAAAGCACTAATAAGTAGTAGAAGCAGCAGCGATGATATTTAGAGTAATAATGGTAAACCTGCCAGTTGTTTCTATTTGCTGAGGACAAATGAAAACCCTGAGCAAGGACATTTTTGAAACATAGTGAAGTGTTTTTATCTTTATTCATTATTTTCTGACTTCTCAGCTTACACCCACAGTATTTTAGTGCAGAAATCAACAGTTGGGTGCAGTTGCAGGAAAGGTCATAAAAAGCCCCAGTCCTTTGTGATCTTATAAAGGGAATATGTTTTCAGTTTAGAAGGAAAATGAAGATGTACTTTCAAAGGTGAGAGCAGAAGAGAAAAAGAGTAACTAAAATGAGCTGTATGCCAGGAGGAAAATTAAGCAGAAAGATAATCAAACTCCTTGATTTCTGTCAGTGTAATTTAAGTTTATCCTGGACATTTCTACTTATTTAATACACAGCGCTTTGAAACGCAGAGACCTCCCCATGCAAATAATAAATAAATAAAAATAAATCGCAGCAAAAGTCTGAAACTTCCTAAAGCAGGACTAAAGTTGCCAGATTCCCTCATCTTCTGTGTCCTAAAAGCATCTTCCTGCCTGTCTCTCTGTTACCCAGAGCGTGAGGACATGGCAGGAGGTTTACCAGGTGCAGTAGAACCTTTCCTCACAAAAACCCTGCTGTAAAATTTGGATGAATGACAATCCAAAGTGGCCACCTGCTTTTAACACCACAGGGAGTGTAAGTTTTGGGGTGGGATGTCAAAGTTCTCTTCATTTAGCAGTGAGGTGATTAGTTCTCCAAAGATTCCCCTGACCTCGATAATGGGAAGAGTAAATGGCCCTCCTCTCACTGGAGGTGAGTGATGAGTTTTACCGATGCATTTTAGTAGGTCAAGAGGGGCTATTGTGCTCATAAAGTGATTTATAGGGCACAGACTTTAAAAACCTACCCAGTAACTCCTCAACAGGCCCTGTCTCACAGAGTGAATGCATCCCATTCAGGGGTCAGTGACAGGTAGTGAAGAGATGCTCAAAGCAATCAGTCACCATATTGATCTTTTCTGCAAGAGGTCTTCCACCAAGAGGGGGGAAAAAAATGTATTTCTGACTATTCCAAAATGTATTAGACTCTTTTTCAAAGGGCCAAAAAAAAAGGACACCAAAAAAACCCCCCAAAAAACCCCAAAACCTCCAAAAAAACAACAAAAAAACCACCCCAAAAACCAAAAACCAAGCCCCTAAAAAAACCCAAAAAACCCCCCTAAAATAAAAAAAAAAACAACCAAAAAACCCCCAAGACACAAAACCAACAAAACACAAAGCCAAACTAAAACAAAACAAAACAGACACCAGAAACTCCACCAAAAAAGCCCCCCCCAAAAAACCAACAAAACAACCCCAACAAAACAAAACAAAAAAATAACCATGCTATTATGTTTTCTCCTCATCCCTTCACTAGATTGATCACTGTCTCCTGGTGGCTTAGGCACGGGTGTGGAAGAAATCTGTTTCAGAGGGAAACAAATTGAGGCACTTTCCTAGTTTTATCTAGAAATGTCATATGTGAATTTAGGAGAGGCTGCAGCAGCAGTGAGATTGAAATGGAACAAGTGGTGTGGCTGGTGGCTCAGCCAAATTCCTTCCTCCCTCTGTCCATCCTTATGGAAGCAGCAGAGGAGTTGACCGGACACAGCTCTGTGCTTCTGCTTTGTCTCTGCCACAGGATGTGTATTTTTGTCTGAGGGAGAATCTTCTCCCTGGAAATGCACAATTTGATGCCCAAAACCCAGCCAGAGCAGCAGGCAGTGGTGGTGCAGCCTGTCAGGCAGATCCAGCCCCTCAGCAATGAGTTTGTGATGCTTCTTGGTTCATTTCTTTTTCTGAACTCACATTATTCTCCCCCCCAAAAAATTGTGTTTCCACACTGGGAGTGTGAATCAGGCACTATGGTGGTGATTAAAACCCTACTTCAGCATTCACAATGGTGCAGAATTCAGTGAAAGGAGTCAAGGTCTGAACCCACCCCTTCCACCCCCTGACAAAGCAAAGAGAAATCCATAATATGGTGGCTGATATGCACAGAGCTGATATTCCTTGTGACAAGCCAGCCAAGCACCTCAAAACCAGCGCAGTGAAATCTCAAACTGCAGTAATTCGATTTCTGACTTTTATGGACCTTCCAGTTCTATATAAGCTGCCTTTTTAATGCAGCCAATCCACAGGAAAAAAAAAAATCTGCATTAGGAATGTGTGGTATTATTCATGTGGCTGCTTTTGCTGTGTTTCAGCATAAAGATTAGTCAAGCTTTATGTAAGTATTATGTATCATCTTCATTTTCAATTTCCACATTGCATCTGTGTTGCTTCCACTTGGCTCAGTGCAGAAGCAGGCATGAAATGCAGCAGTACAAACATATTTATGTGCAATAATAAAATGTTAGGGAACAGCCAGCTACAAAATAAAAATGGTATAAGAGTATTATGTGACCATATAAGTCAGGCTTGTATTGCTTGTAAGTTACTTACATGTTTTAAACCAGCCAGGATTTGGTATCTGTTGGCTCACTTTTATTTATTTTTTTTCTGCAAACAAACAGAAAGCACTTAATTAACAATACGAAGCTCATAAGCAAAACAGCATGACTAGGAGAAAAAATAAAGTCAGGATAATTACAGCAATATTGGGCAGAAATTAACTTCAGTTTTTCCCTGCTGTGTTGCTGGCTTTAGAGCCTACACGAGTAAGGTAAAATAAATTAAAAAAACCCTCTTAAATGTACACCTATGCATGAAGTATTTAAGATGAGCTTACATTATAAATTAAAACCTCACGAAGCCTTACACTGAAATATGAATTCATTTCCTGTGCAAGACTTTGAGTCACGACATTTTTATCTGTTGGGATTATTTTTACTTATTTTTCCTCTCCACTGTTCAGTGAAGCAAGTCATTAGCATTAAATTACTGTAATGAACAGACACCAGATTTGCAGCAGGTAGTTTATAAAAGGATCACACCTCAAGCCAGAAGGAAAATAAATGGTTCCTCAGCATAGTCACCTACCAGGAAAACTTTCATAAATCAAAGTTTGGAGGAACTGCAGCTGTCCATAAGCATATTAGGGCTGGGAGCAGATAATTAAGGTGTGTCTGTCCTCCTTCCTTTTTTGACCCAAAAAGGGCAGATTAAAAGGGCAAGGTGATAGAGACATTTTTGTACCTAGTTATCTTTGGCTGTGAAAATAATCCCCCTAAGACCAACTCACACAGGGATTTTTGGAAGCAGACATGTAGATTTTCAGTAGAAGTATGTCTGAGTTAAAGCTGGTATTAAAAAAAAAAAAAAAAAAAAAAGTAATAAACTCCCCAGCATGGATTTAAAACCATAAACTCTCCAAGATCCCTTTTTTTTTATCTATTTATTCCTAATGGAGTGAAATTCAGAGACCAAACCAGAATGCTCTTTCTCCTTTAAAGAGAAATTAGGTACCTGTTTTATGTTCCCTGCAGCAAGGATTTGCTACAATGCACAAATCTTTCTTA